AAGTTGCCATCCCCTTTCTCCAGGGGATCTTCCTGACCCAGGGATCGAATCTGTGTCTCTTGTGTCTCCTGCATCGATAGGCAGATTCTTCACCACTGAGCCACCTGGGAAGCCCATATATACTACCATGTGTAGAACAGATAGCATGTGGAAGCTGTGATTTAGCACAGGGAGACCAGTGCAGTGCAATGTGATGACCTAAACGTGTGGAATTGGGGGAGCAGGAGGGAGGTCCAAGAGGGGAATCTATGTATACATAGATTCATTTTGTTGTACAGCAGAAACTAACATTGTAAAGCAATTATACTCTAACTAAAAAAACAGAAACAACTTTGATTTTGTAGTTAATAAACCTTCCTATCCCTCTCCCCAAATGTATATGTGATCACATGTTTTTCAGTCGCCCAGTCGTTTCCGACTCTGGGACCCCATGAACTGGGGCACACCAGGCCTCCCTGTCCCTCACCATCTCCCCGAAGTTTGCCCAAGTTCACGTGCATTGCATTGGTGATGCCATCCAGTCATCTCTTCCTTTGACGCTCTCTTCTCCTACTCTCAATCTTTCCCAGCATCAAGGATTTTTCCAACGAGTCGGTTGTTCTCATCAGATGACTAAAATACTGGAGCTTCAGTTTCAGCATCAGTTCTTCCAACAAGTAAGTATTCAGGGTTGATTTCCCTTAAGACTGACTGGTTTGATCTCCCTGCTGTCCAAGGGACTTTCAGGAGTCTTCTCCAGCAACAAAGTTCAAAAGCATCAATTCTTTGCTACTCTGCTTTCTTTACAGTCCAGCTCTCATAACCATATGTGACCACTGGGAAGACCACAGCCTTGACTGTATGGACCTTTGTTGGCAGAGTAATGTCTCTGAACATGTTTTTCAGTCGCCCAGTCGTTTCCGACTCTGGGACCCCATGAACTGGGGCACACCAGGCCTCCCTGTCCCTCACCATCTCCCCGAAGTTTGCCCAAGTTCACGTGCATTGCATTGGTGATGCCATCCAGTCATCTCTTCCTTTGACGCTCTCTTCTCCTACTCTCAATCTTTCCCAGCATCAAGGATTTTTCCAACGAGTCGGTTGTTCTCATCAGATGACTAAAATACTGGAGCTTCAGTTTCAGCATCAGTTCTTCCAACAAGTAAGTATTCAGGGTTGATTTCCCTTAAGACTGACTGGTTTGATCTCCCTGCTGTCCAAGGGACTTTCAGGAGTCTTCTCCAGCAACAAAGTTCAAAGGCATCAATTCTTTGCTACTCTGCTTTCTTTACAGTCCAGCTCTCATAACCATATGTGACCACTGGGAAGACCACAGCCTTGACTGTATGGACCTTTGTTGGCAGAGTAATGTCTCTGTTTTTCAACACACTGACTAGGTTTGTCATCGTTTTCCTGCCAAGAAGCAATCCTCTTCTGATTTCATGATTGCTGCCACCGTCTGCAGTGATTTTGGGGCCCAAGAAGAGAAAATCTGTCACTACTTCCACCTTTTCCCTTTCTATTTGAAATGTAGTAATGGGGCTGGATGTCATGATCTTAATTTTTTTAATATTTAGTCGTAAGCCGGCTCTTTCACTCCTCCTTCACCCTCATCAAGAGGCTCTTTAGTGCCTCTTTGCTTTCTGCCATTAGAGTGGTATCATCTGCCCATCTGAGATTGTTGATGTTTCTCCTACCTATCTTGATTCCAGCTTGTAACTCATCCAGTCTAGCATTTCTCATGACATGCTCCGCATATAGGTTAAACAAACAGGGTGACCGCAGACAGCCTTGTCATACTCCTTTCTCAATCTTGAACCAATCAGTTGTTCCATACAGGGTTCTAACTGTTGCTTCTTGACCAGCATACAGTTTCTCGGGAGACAGGTAAGATGGACTGGTATTCCCATCTCTTTCAGAGCTTTCTACAGTTTATTATGATCCACCCAGTCTGATATGATCCACACAGTCAAAGGCTTTAGTGTAGTCAATGAAACAGCGGCAGATGCTTTTCTGGAATTCCCTTGCTTTCTCTCTGATCCAGCAAATGTTGGCAATTTGATCTCTGATTCCTCAAAACAGGTCAGGTCAGGATGTTACAGACGAGACGTGTGTGCAAGTCCAAGATGGGTTTTTAACTTTTTTTTTTTTGCCACACTGAAGCATTTGGGATAATAGTTCCCCAACCAGGGATGGAATCCGTACCCCCTACAGTGGAAGCACAGAATCTTAACCACTGGACTGCCAGGGAATTCCCTTTAGCTTTATAATATGTGGTCATGAACTTAGTTCCGCCATCAGCTGTGGCCGCTGGTCAGCAGGATGAGAGTTCTGTAGACTAGGGAAGTCTTTAGTCACAACACAAATAGACACTGCCTACTTCCGAGGCCAGAATTCTAAGAAAAAGTGACTCAGCTGATAAGAGTATATTAAAATTGAAAATATCTTCACCTTTCCTATGCTCACCACGAATCATTTTTCTGAGTGGTTTAAGACCTGTAAGTGAAACACCCATTACAAAAACAAATTTCTTTTTAAAGGACCTCTCCCTGAATTTCCATGCTTCACAGACAATGTATATTCTAGCAGTAACACTTAAGAGCAACTGATAGACTTTTTAATTGTAGAAAGCTTTCAATGTGTATGGTTCCTCTCAATGACATCCAGATAGAATAACCCTATGTAATTACCAACCTACATTATAAGCAGTTCTCATGGGAGGGCCACACAAAACCTGCACAGCCATCAACAGGCAGACTGGAGGACAGAGGCAGCAGGAACACAGACCAGGCAGAAATGCGCACTGGAGCTTAATCACTGTAATTTAGATTTTGTCACCAAGTCCCAGGTACAAGCTCTTTTATGCACTGTCAAGAGATCTCCACATTAATTGCTGTTCCTGTCTTCCGAGGACACAAACACTCTAATTTGCAGTGATTTTAGTTTCTCGAGTAATATGCATTTGGTGGCTAAGTCCCCCCTTTCCTCCAGAAAAGGAAGTCTGCTAAAGCTCTGATTATCCAGCTCCCTCTGCCAAGATCAACAAACTGGAGTCACAAAGCATCCGTATTTACCGGAGTCGCGGACAAATGTGACTCAACCTACCAGTGGGTGGGAAGCCCTGCCATCCCCCTAAAAGGCCACATTCTTCCCGAGCAACCTTGACTTTCAACAGAAGAGCTATTTCTAAATGATGATTTCAATGATTTCTGCATTGTCAGTTGGAAGCAGAAAATGTGGTTAATCCTTTAAGACCTTCAGGCAGTCGCAGTCAGCACATTCAGACAATGCTAACCCAGGTGCCGACTTTTCAGAGGGGGGCTTTGTACCTCCCCTGGGATTTGGTAGATCTGTTAGATCGCACGGCCCATGTTCTGAGCTTCGGCTTCAGAGGCCCAGCACTTTTTAACTTTACTCCAGAGTGATGCCATTCTTGACAAGACCTGTGACTTTCTTCTGCCATCTAATTAGATCAGAGATACATTCCCCAGATGGAGTACTATTTCAAAAAAGACATTCTCTTTTCAGAATGAAGAACTGAAAACCAAATCTAGGAGTCAAGGTAAACCTGAAAACCACAGAGGAACTACTGTGAACTGAAAAATGTTCTGAGTCAGTACACAGGCTGTACTTAATAAGACAGTGGGTGTGCTAGAAACAGCAAGCCAGTCACATAACTGAGTCAAGTGATTCTACGTCTATATTCTATTATCATGGTATTTACGCCTGGCTTTCTGTTTTCCAAACACTCCTTTATTCCATCTGTACCAAACATTCTATTTTCTGAATTATGGACCGGAAATTGGATACTTGTTACCTAAGAATCCTGAGATGACTTTCCCAATTGCTTTTCTGCTTAGGGGGCCATGCAGTTTCCAGGCCTGTCACAATCACTTTTTATTACTGCAACGTGGTAGTGGTAAACAGAGATAAAACTCAGGAAATGCTTCATATCATCAGCGTTTTAAAAGATGGGAAGTGTGTGAATCTTATCAGTAACAATACAGACAACGGGAAAAGTTGACTATTTAACTGATCAAGTGAAACAAATCCAAATTAAGTCAAAGATGTCCCCTCTCGTGAAGATTACCTGGGGTTTACTCACAGATTATGTGCCTGGATTCCCACTGGAAAAGTAAAACTAAACTCAACTTCTCTGCTGCTTTTCTTTAGCGCATAAGAGTAAAAGAGGACTGGAAGATGACAAGGTTAGATGCTATCACACAAGCTGATCAATGACTGACAACAAAAAAAGGTAAAAGGAGAAACCACCAGACATTAACAGGTCCCCAGAGATAGTGATGAATGTTTCCTCCCTAAAAGGACGAGTATCTTGTCATATTTTGGACTGCAGGCTCAAACCCCAAAGAGGAAATGAAAAACAGTATTTATTCTGCCTATCAGCATGATTGCCGAGGATACAGGGGAATGTGTACGTTTCTGTTCTGAAAGGTAGATGGGCTGTGTCTAATTTTAGCCATGCTTTCCTGTTGGACATCCCTCACCCTCAACACATCACTGTCGGGAGTCAATTACTGAAAACAGATTGCTGTGCAAACACTGGATAAGAGATGTCCTCTGATAGACAGCGTTAAGGATGATGCATCTAGCATCATACATGATAGGCCCTGTTAAGTCTTGGGAAAGACCTCTTCCTTTCAAAAATATGGTCCAGATTTTCTTACGTCTTCAAAAGACTGTCTCCTTTTACATTCTCTATCACTAGCAGGAAGCCACAGGACAAAATTCTCCTCATTCTGGTATGCAGTTAGGCACATTTTTATAAAATCAAATACAGCTACAAAAAAACAGATCTGCAAACTTTTCTCAGAGTTTAAAATAATGCACTAGGATGGTAGAAATAAAGGATCTGGATGGTAAATAAATATATAAAAATTAGCTGCCACTGTGCAAAAGACGCCCGCCTGCCCCCCCTTTTTAAAAATGTACTCTTGACGGAAGGCAAGTGAGAAGAGGCCAGAAGCTGGATGCAGGAGGCGGGGAGTGGGAGGGGCGGTTACCTGGTGTGGGAAGCAGCATCACTGATACTGAACGTGGGGTTCTCCCTGGTCAGAGGGCTTGAGCCGGCCGGGCTCTTGGTGTGGACGTCCAAGCTCAGGGAGGACTCGGCTTTGCGGTCCATGCCGTGGCTCTCTGCCTCTAAAGTCCGATCTGCTATGGAGATGACCTCGCTGGAACTGTGCCACAGCGGGGCCGCCTTCTCCTTGGCCGGCCCCGAGCGCGGCGACGAGGTGGCCGCCCCCAGGGAGGCCGTGCTGCCGTGGCTGGGGCCGTACGAGGTGGTGTCGATGCCGCTGTCGGCGGAGGTGCCCTGCAGGTAGCTGTAGCTGCTGAGCTCGGCCTCGGCGCGGTCCCCGTCGTACCACTTCTCGTCGCTGTGGGCGCTCGACGCGTTGCTGGACAGGGTGTTGCTGCTGGAGTGGCTGGAGTAGTGGCTGTCGGACTGCAAGGGAAGCAGGGCTCCTTAGAGCAGGTTGGCTTCCGGAAGAGCAGGCAACAAATACCGGGGGAGTGACTGTGAAACGTGTCCTCCCAGGGGGTTCTCGAGACACAAAAACGCCTCCATGATGACAGAGCAAGGCGGGGGTACCTGGGAAAACCTGTTCAGAAGATTTCATGGCAGGCAGTGCTGGAAACTTTGCTGTTTCAGAATCGACTTTTCATTATTTAGCTTGTTTAACTTACGCTGAAGTAACTATAGCATTGAGAGAGTCTTAATCAGGGGGAAGAAAACCAAACCAACCCTAAACTCTCACTGGATGTGTGCTTAGTTGCTCAGTTGTATCCGACTCTGCAACCCCGTGGACTGCAGCCCTCCAGGCTCCTCTGTCCATGGGATTCTCCAGGCAAGAGTACTGGAGTGGGTTGCCATTCCCTTCTCCAGGGGATCTTCCCAACCCAGGGAACATGGGATTCTCCAGGCAAGAGTACTGGAGTGGGTTGCCATTCCCTTCTCCAGGGGATCTTCCCGACCCAGGGATCAAATCTGGGGCTCCTGCATTGCAGGTGGAACTTTACCATCTGTGCCACCAGCGAAGTCAAAACTGTCATTAGAGTCTTCTAATATCTCAGCCTTAAAATAGAAAGCGATACTTCCAAGGGGCTTATAATTAGAAAGACTGTTGATCAGAGTAAACAGAAGGCAGAATATAAGGCTTTTTCTTAGAAAGAAAAGATATCTTTTCTTCTTCATATAGCATCTATTTAGGAGACAGCTTTTCTAAGGAGTGCTAAGAAGTAAAATTTATACAGATGTGCCAAGACAATTCAATGGGGGAAAACATTCTTTTTACCAAACAGTGTTGAGAAATTAGATATCCACATACAAGAAAGAATGAAGTTGGGTCTTAACCACGTAGAAAAATAAACTCAAAAAGGTCAAAGACCTAAGTGTCAGGGCTAAAACTATAGAACTCTTAGAAGAAAATATAGGTATACATCTCCATGGATTATGTATACAAATTAGGTATACAAATGATTAGACTATGCAATGGTTTCTTAAATAGGACACCGAAAGTAAAAAAATGAAGAGAAAATAGATAAACTGGGCTTCATCAAAATTAAAAACTTTCATGCTTCAAATAACCCAATAAAAAAATGGGCAAGGGATTTGAATAGTCATTCATCCAAAGAAGATACACAAGTGGTCAACAAGCATATGAAAAGCTCAGTATCATTAGTCACTGCTGCGGCTGCTGCTAAGTCGCTTCAGTCGTGTCCGACTCTGTGCGACCCCACAGACGGCAGCCCACCAGGCTCCCCTGTCCCTGGGATTCTCCAGGCAAGAACATTGGAGTGGGTTAGGGAAATGCAAATCAAAACCACAATGAAGTAACACTTCATACACACTAGGATAAAGGCAGTCAGTAAGGATGGTGGGCATTGTTGGCAGGATATAAAACAGGGCAGCTGCTGTGGGAAAACAGCTGCAATTATATACTCAAGAGAAATGAAAACCTATGTTAACAAGAAAAACTCCCACATGAATTTTAAAGCAGCATTATTCTTAATAGCCAAAAAAGAAGACATCACTCACATGTATATCAATGGATAAAAAAATGTTGCTATATCCATGCAATGGCATATTATTCAGTCATAAAAAGATGCAAAGTACTAATACATGCTACAACAGATGAACCCTGAAAACATGCTGAGTGAAAGAAGCCGGACACGGAAGGCTATATGATTCTATACTATATGATTCCATTCATATGAAACGTCAAAGCAGGCACATCCACAGGGACAGAAAGTAAGTTCATGGTTGTCAATGGCTTGGAGGGAATGGAAGAGTTAGGCTTTCTTTTCAAGGTGATGAAAATGTTCTGGAGTTAAATCACAGTACTGGTTGCACAACTCTGTGAATATACCAAACACCATGAAATAGTACACTTTAAATGTGTGAATGTTTCGATATGTGAATAATGTGAATCATATCTCAATTTAAAAAATGTGGGCAGAATGCTTGTTGGACAGCGGCTTGGTTGCTCAGAAAGATTTTACAGTTTATCAAAGAAATATGATTTCAAAGGATATCTGAGTAAAACAGTATTTAAATTACAGGGTGGCTGAAAGTTCAGATACTTGGTGGAGATTGAGAGAAAAGAAGAGGAAAGGTGTTGGTGTGTCTTTACTGGCTGCAGGAAGGGGGCTGGAGGAGGACAGACCTCACAGTCAAAGATCTCCTCCCCTTGAAAGAGGACTGATCCCAGTTACTTCACTGGAGCTACTCTAGTTTCTCTCAATAACTACTTGCATTACAAGGCCATCATTTATTTTTCCTAGTTGCTCCAGGGCAGAACCCTGTAGCACCTGGACCTGGGCTATAGAATTTGCTAGCCCCAGGCCATGTATGGCTACCGGGCACTTAAAATGTGGCCAGTTCACATTCAGATGTGTTGAGAGTGTAGAGTAAGTGACAGATATAGATGTAGATATAACTCAAACCACATCTGGAATTTTAAGTGCTCTAGCCAAATTTTAGAAAAAGAAACAGGTGAAATTAACTTTGAGAATATTTTTTATCTAACCAAATCTAGCCAAAATACTATTTGATCATGTAATCAGTTTAAAAAGTGTTAATGAAGGAGGGGAAATTGACAGATGGACTAGGGTAATCTCACATTTACAAGTGGAACTGTGGCAGCATCACATTTCATCAGTAAATCTCTCTTCCACAGCCCAGTACAGGATGCTTGCTCATGAACCTGTGAAGTTGACACTTCAAAACTCATTTCAATTAAAAAAAAAAAAATTGGGCCCTCTCATTGTATTAGTGAATATTAAATTCAGTTATGTCCTCATCCTATAAAATGACATAAATATAAACAATCACATTCCAGTGAACAGACAGACCAAGGAAATCCACTGCATTTAAAGAGGGAGGAAATGAGAGTCTCTTATTCCCAATTCTACCTGTAAGTGATGGGGAACTGTGTATAATTATGGTAAAGAGACAACAATCAGTGCAGCCCCAGAAGGAAAGAGAAGCAGTAGGGCGAGTTGTCAGGAAGCTGTCTGTCTCCTTGACTGATGTTCCAACCATTCATATCTCATGCTGGCAACTGTGTAAGCAAATAAAATCTTAATCAAGTACATTCCTATTCCAGACACTAGGATTGTCTGTGATTGCATCACATGGCCTTTCATCCAAATCCATGGGGGTAGCAGGTGCATCCCAATGAGGAATTTCAATTTAATCTCAAAACAAGCTTAAGGCCAGGCTTCCCAGGTGGCAAAGGGGTAAAGAATCCGCCTGCATTGCAAGAGACTCCGGTTCAATCCCTGGGTGGGGAAGATGCCCTGGAGATGGAAATGACAACCCTCTCCAGTATTCTTGCCTGGGAAATGCCCTGGACAGAGGAGCTTGGCAGGCTACAGTCCATGGGGTCACGAAGAGTCGGACACAAGTTAGCGACTAAACAACAACAAAAAGCTTAAGGCCACTGGCAGTAGGAATTTCAGGGCTGTGGCAGCCAGCGCCCACTTTCTCCTGGGATGACTTGCCCTCTGACACCGGGGAAGAATAAGAGGGCAGACCAGTACCATTTTCACTTTGCAAGAAAGGTACAGGGCTGGGAACCTACCACTTTTACTTGTTGCTGTTCAGTTGCCCCGCTGTGTCCAACTCTTTGTGACTCATGGCCTGCGGCACACCAGGCCTCACTGTCCCTCACCATCTCCCAACGTCTGCCCAAGTTCCTGTCCGTGGCATCAGTTTTCACTGCACCATTTTGATTACTTTGTAGTTAACTTACGTGCCCTTGTTTGTTTGGAGACAAATGAACCACCGGATCCTGACGCATTAATCTCCCGCTGGGGCTCTCTCGGAAAGCTGGCAGTACCTTGGATACTGCTGGGAGGTGGCAGGTCGGCTCTGGAACACAGCACAGGACATCACGGTGCAGGCACTAAAGCGGCGCGGGCGCGGCTGACACATGAGGACGCCTGCCCCAGCACCTCTCAGTTCACTGGCCAGCACACTCGGAATTTCAGCGAGAAGCTTGTTGAGAGTTTACACGAGAGACAGCATGTCAAGAGCTAAGTGGCTGATGGATAAAGCTTGCAGCTGGTGACAGTATGTCACACCATACACATGAGCAGAGCCAAGTACCACCAAACCAGAGGCCATGAACAATGCGGCAACGTCAGGAATCAATTTTCGGCTTGGGGAGGCGGGGAAGTCTCGAATATATGAATTAAATTTATGAAATCCATTCATTGCAAAGTGTGGCTAACCTCGCTTGGTCTACGTTACCTAGACAGGCATGGATGCAATCGCGCGTTACTTACCATGACACTTTGGACATATTTTACCTGTATATTCATGCTGCTCGAGGACAAAAGAATTGAATTCCTGAGGTCCTCTATAACTGTAAGCTAAGCACAACAGAAAAGACACACAGCGACTAGTTTACTTAAAACAATTGCTTCCTGTTGGACTCCACTGGTGTTCAGGATGGGGTGGTTCCAAAGGTGAAAGGTAAGCGACTTCGCCTCTTTAACAGACCTAAGAGCTGATGGCAACAATTGTGCAACGCCATTCCTAACACGCACAGGACTGAGCAGTATACTCTTTGACTCTCAACTGTGTCCAAAAGTGGAGAGGCAGGAAAATCAAACTGAGATGGGTGACCCAATTCAATAAGCTAAGCTCTGGGTCTCCCCTGGGAATCAGCTTATCATCTGCTGATGGACAAAGACGGGGAGCCTGGCTAATGAGTAAGAATCTGCTTCATGTTTTCAACCAGTGACCTGAAGGTCGTTAGAGAATTGTGTTCTTACAAATCGAGTGTAGGAAGGTCAGTCCCTTATCCACTCAATACCGTGTACTGAGGAATGAGAACATAACAATTATTTGTCTTGATTCCTCCCTAGCATGGTTTGTGTCGGCTAAGCCCCAGATTCCTTCTGAAGCGCTGAGCAGAAAGGGCTGGGTTATCCTTCTGGGATGCTAGAATATCAAAAGTTATAAAAATTTATTTGAACATTTTCTTTGTAGCCTTAGATTTTGGATCAAGAAAGGTCTTGGTTTTAAAAAAACAAAAGGCTTCTCCGGCAGACTCTAGGAGTATCTTCTTTTTTTAAAAGAAAAGGTATAACCTTACAAAAAGGATGAAGCAATGTGTTAAAAAGATTCACCGGTATTCATTTCCGAACCTTATCTATGAAGCGTGGGATGCCACCAAACTAAAGTGGATGCAAGGGGAAAAAAAAGGCTAGAGGAAGGTTTATGCGAAAGAATGACTACGGGCCTAGGACGAACCTTGTAATTACCCTTTCTAGTCCCAAGATACTGTTTCATTCCCTGTATGACTTCACATGAGTGGGAAGCGTGACCCTGAACCGTGCACAAAGGCCCGCTGGCAGCTTTGTTCAAAGCCTGCAACTAGGAGCCAAAAAAAGCTACTAAAGTCCTGCTGAAGGAGGGATCCTGTTCACATGTGTTGTTACCATCTCAATGGTATCAAAACATATGGGATTCGAAACATTCTGTCAAGAGCGGAACAGTAGATCTGAATATGCTCAGGTTTTTGGTGGGGGGTGGGGAGTGGGACGAGAGTAGGGAATGACAGATGGCTTCAATAACGAGGCACACATCGCACTGAAGGGGTGGAACAAAGCCTATCTTCAGAACCTGAGGGTTTTGCTTCTCTTCTTCAACTCCTGCCTTAACTGAATGCATCTCCACTCCCTTCCATGTTCGTGGGTTTTTAAGAGTCCCAGCATGGTCCCCACCTCTGCACTGAGGATGCCCTCCCCCGCCAGGTACAGAAACGTGGGCACAGTCACTAAAACAGAACAAAAGGATGCGTTTGCAGAGAGGATAAAACGATGAGGGCTTTGCCGTGAACGCTGATCTGTTTCCGGCCCTGAAATTTACTTCTTTTTATTCCACATTGATGGGAAAGCTACTAGATAGAGGCGAAAGGAAAAACCTTTAACAGTCGGGATTCAAGTCCCTGATGTATCAACTGTGTTGATACTAAATCCCTGGTGCTACTGTATTGAAACTCAATCCTGTTTCATGGCAAAATGTTATTGTATCAAACTAGTATTTAGATGTCATCAGAGAACTGTGTAGAGAGACAGGGAGAAGGAAAGGGCCATGTGCCAGAAACCCAAAGGAAGGCTCACTCATGCAAATCTTTTTCCCTTCCAGCTGGTTTTATCCTAAGACGTTTCCTTAGCTGACAGCTTCCTAGCAGAGTGGGGGGAAAAAAAAGCGTATAAAGGGAAGAAAGGTATCCTCAAGAGATGACTAGAGAACAATTATATCTCTTTCCCATTTTGTACACAGCTTTTAAATTTTTTAAAAGTCAACGTTAAGAATATCAACTAATCTCCCCAGGGCCTTTATACTAGGCAAAATCAAACATAAATAAACAAGGCTGGGGAGGGAGATAGCACCTAAGTGTCTTAGTACTGTGGCATTTCAACCTTGGTGCTGAAAATAATTCCTATGTACTTTCTGTCTTCAAAGTCAAGGTCACTTATGAATAGAATTCCTTGACTTTTCTCTCAGGTCTTAATTGCTGCTTTGACTTCTACACACATTAACAGACTTAACGCTCATTCCTATTTATGACCCAGGGCTGTACTAGAGAAGAGGATACACTGATGACATCAACCAGAGGCCGCCAAAGTCACCTGGGTACAAAAGCAACTTGCTTAGTGTACGAATTAGTTACTTACCCATCTGGTCAGCGATGCTGTCTTCACTTCTTTGCCAGCTGGGTGTGGATTTCCCGCTGCCACCAATGTCTGACTGGGTGTTCTGCCTGTCGATGGAGGCGGGGGATCTGCGGCTGATTCCAAACCTGGGGGGATTTCGCCAAAGGCAAAGACAACATCAGGGGCCTCGCCCACACGGGAAGGCAGTCCTGGGTGTAACGCACTGAACACTGATGACAGGTACTACTAGGTTTGCTCACAGGTCTGTACTCATCCGCGTGCATGCATACGTGGATGCCAGAACTGTGGATGCTGTGGTCGGGATACACCCCTCTGTTCAACAGAGTATGTATGCTAAGTTTGTAAACTGAACAAGCGCAGGAGTCATTAGCACTGAGCCAACCTAAAATAGATACAGTAAAAAACCAAAACCTTCTGGCCTTTGTGTAGTTAAAGCTCTGACGGTCATTCACAGCCAAAAGAAAAATGTCACCATCCTAGAGTTCCTTCTGTGTGTGTTGTCCAATTGGCACATTCCAGAGGTTTCTCCTAACTCAGTAATCTGCTACATCACTAAGGCACTCATTCTTGGAACAAGTATTTTCTGAAGCTGTTACTCTAAGGTCTGAAAGACAAAGATTGCTAACATTTACATTACATAGGGACCACTTTCCAGATGTATAAATTTCAAACTGCCTTTGGAAGAGCAATTTGGAAGTGGGTGAGCTGGCATATATAAAGGCAAACGTCTATTTCTGGAAAGAACATTTATCTATTTAATGAGCCCATTTTATTAATAACATTTCCTATGTAGAATAATAATATAATGTATGCTTAATTAAAGTAATTGTCTTGATTAGTAACATCAGCAAAGAAAATGCTGACAGAGTCCAGGAAAAAGGCCCAGGGTATAATACTCAAAGATTCACATGGAAATTTACAAATCTGTCTGTGGGCACTAATGAACTTATAAGTAATCGACACAATAAATCACAAAACAGGACCTGAATTAGCTGATGCATGTGACAGGTGTCTTTGTTACAAACTGATAAATGTGTGGGGAGAAGCACCAATTGGTGTGTTGCAAAGAGACGGAGATTAGGAGGAGGAAGATCAGTAGTTAAGTTCAGCTTCCCCACCCGGAGTCACTCAAGTTCTGTCTTTATTTACTTTTAAAATGGCAACTCTTATACGGATCCAAGGAGAAAAACTTATATAAAAGCCTCTGCAACATAGGGAAGGCTATGGAATATTTTAGTAAAACTCCTACTATAATATCTCCCTTGTTACTTTTTGCACAAATGACAGTCATTTACAAGCTTAACTCATAAGGATCACTAAACAAAGTTATCTCCATTATTAAAAACAAATGAAAACTTGAATTGATGAAAATTTCAGTGAAAGGGCTCATCAAAAAAAAAAAAAAAAAGAAATCTCTGAATAAAATGTAAATGTAACAGCTTAGACTTTGGAAGTAGAATGTTGGGTTGCAAATTTCATCTGTAGCATTTTGATATCCNAAAAAGGCACAGAGATCAAAGAAAGAAGTGAATTGGAATCTTAGTTTTACTTTTTAGTAGCAGTGGAAACCCAAGACTACTTTTTAAACCTCTATAAATTGAAAGCCAAATGCTTTTCTGGCTGTCTGCTTTTAAAGAAATGATAAAGTAAGCCTGTCTGTCTTTCAACTCTGCCTTGAAAAAAGTTTGACCCAATGAACTTTTGGTTTTAGTTCTCACACCCTTTCACCAGGCCATCAGGGCTACAAAGGCCCCATCCTTGAGGAGCTCAGACAAAACCTGTTCTAACTTTACACTGTGCCTCTTTTGGAAGACCTAATTGTCCCTTTGTTTGGAGGAGCACTTTATAATACTCTAGGAGTCACAGTTTCGATCTGAAGGAGTTTTTAAGTAATCATTTGGCTGATACATGAAATGCATTCAATGACCAAGAACCTTCTGCCTCATGAGTCAGTCTATAGTTCCCCAGGGCAGGCTGACAGCTTTGAAACATCTTCCTTACAAGGGGCTGGAAACTTCTTCTCTATGACTTTTCACTTACTGATCTCAGTTACCCCCAGAGACAAGTTTAACCCCTCAGCGAAGAGTGCTGGGAGGAAGCCGCCGTGGCCTCCCTGACTCCACGCATGCCTTGGCTCCACCTCTCACACCACGATCCTCCGACTCCGTGTCTGCCCATCCGTCCCTTTGCACGTGCCCTGCTTCGCCCACATTCCTTAGGGTACGTGGCCCCAGAACACATCTCCAAGGGTGGCAGGAGAGACCCCATGTCTTTTTGTCACTGTTGCTTTTTAACTCTTATTCCCATCCAAAACTGTGCGTGTGCCCTTTTCCCCTTCACCCAAGTAGAGCAGTTTTATTAACCAGCCCGCGAAACTGCCTCTCAACTGATCTGGATGCTCTCCACATCCTTACACCGGCAAGCGGGTGGCACACTCCACACACAAGCAGATACTGAGTCTGCTAAAGCACAGGCGGGCGACAGAGGGGGCGGATCACACCTACGGACGTCAGTGTATCTGGGCCTGTGGTCACCATCTCACACCGTGGAGCCTGTCCAAGTTCAACATTCATGAGTTCACAGCAGACTCCATAGACTCCTGCTTCACTTCACCCTGGACCTATCTATTTTTACTGGGCCAANCCTGTGGTCACCATCTCACACCGTGGAGCCTGTCCAAGTTCAACATTCATGAGTTCACAGCAGACTCCATAGACTCCTGCTTCACTTCACCCTGGACCTATCTATTTTTACTGGGCCAAGTTACAGAGCAGACGTAACCGTTGTTCCCTTGGTAAGTGTAACTTCAGAATCAAACCTGGCTCGTGAGGAACACCTGTCAACCAGACAGCGAACACTAAAGTCTCTTGCATCACTGATACAGACAACAATTCCCTTGGGATCTAAAGGAAAACACTGTACCAGCATCTTCCTGTAAAGGTTCACTGCAGATAAAACTGATGTGACACAGCACAGTAAACAGTCACCAGTTAACCTGAAAAGTGATGGGGGAAACCCTCCGTACCAGCTATGGGACACTAAGTATTATACATCATGTCAAATAACTACCACTTTATTAAAAAAAATGGTATAGCATGAACATTGGAGCCATTTCTACCATTAATAATCACCAAAAATTACTGTTTCAAATTACATTTTAGTATGTCTTGAGAGTATATCTCAAATGTAGAGAAGAAGCTAACATGATTTTGTTGTTGTTAGCTCATTTATACTTTATTGCTGTATTAACACTGAAGTTGCAGTGAATTCTTACTTTTGAAGTCAAACAAGGCCATTTAAAATCTACCAAACCAAACAAAAAATAATCAGTTGGGCTTGTGGTATGGGATAATACTACTACTTAACTCATAAAATCTTTTGCAGGGGCCTACAATAAGAGCTAGAATTTTTTACTAATTGTCACTGTAATTAAAGTAAGAAATGTACATTTTAGACACGCTACCAATGGACTCCTTGGGGAGAGAGCTGGGGAGGGAAGTATGTTTTATTGTAGTTTTTTATTACTTAGTTTCTGCTAACATAAACATTTAGCAAAAATATCAACAAAATTATTCTTAACAGCTGTAAAAACCAACAAAAGACTATAGGATAAAAAAATACCCATTATGAAACTATTCTCATAAGCATAATTGTTTTATAACATGGTAAGATCTCAAGAAAGTAAACAAATCATATGTGCATCTGTTAAAAATAATTTGGAGAAAACTTGGAACAGAAAGATCCTTTTTTGCTCCCAACATGCCATTTTTGAATTTCAAGTGGTTTCAAGTTCTTCAGAGGTGTCCCAGCAGGAGGCCTGTGATGGTTCTTTCACTCTCCCTCTGAGCAAAGTCGGTTTGTGTGTATCATGTGATGTTTTCTGCAAATTCCTTTCCAGCTTCAGACATGCCAATTCCCCTCCCGCCTTTTAGTAGCCTTTATAATCATGTACACTTAGCTTTTTACTTTGTAAGTCTTGTCAGAAGCAAACGGTTACTTTGGGTGTTTAGTGTTTTCAAAAAAGATGGAGAGAAAAGCTCCCAAACAACCCACAGGCTGAAATCACAGATTTCTAAAGTGTGAGAAAAATCCTTTTAAGCTTTGGACAAAATGAACATTTCTCTTACTTTAACATCAATATAAACTCTACCCAGCGCAAGCAGCATACTCCTAAGTTCACTTGGGAAGAAATTTTAAGAAGTGGCAAAATCCATACGATGAAACAAGATCAATACATATAATGGAGGAATCGATATAATTAGATTTCTTTGCCATTGAGTCCTTAGAGGCTACAGAATGATAAACTTTCTAAGAAGTGGTTGGAACTAGCCATGAAAACATTTTTTAATGTGGAGTATAAACTGTATTTCCCCTTTTGTGAACTGAGTCCGGCTGAATGGAAACTATTTTGCACGTCTGAGTTACACATGGGAGGAGAGACAGTGATGCTGATTTTACCTACCCTTCAGGCATGGACTTCTGCCTGTAGGTGCCCCCTCCAGAGCCGGTCTCGCTGGATGAAGACAGACTGCTCGGGGAGTTGCGACATGGCTGGGATCTTGCTAAAGCCATGGACGAGACCGTCACATAGATGTCCGAACCAGGAGACAGCCTGTGTGTGCAAACAGAAAACATGAAGTCAGCAACTCAAAGGGAAAATCCCAAGGCGATGTGATGGGTAATATATGAATGCAACAAACAGGTTAGGACAGACATTATTTTTGCCCCCTACTTGCTCCATTCAAGTAGACACTGCGGCAACTGCAGGATATTAATAAGTGAGGCTGAAGCCTGTGACAATTTGTCAGCTAAATCTTGACATCAGCTAAAACAATGATATTTTATTTCAGAAGCAAATGCTGGTCCAGATCATTGGCTCTTGTAAAGGGGCAGCAGGGCAGGTCATTTCCATTTTATAGTTGAGGGAGGGGAATCAAAGTCATTTTTTCACTAAGCCAGGCTCTTGAATTTCTGAGCCCACTGCACTCTGCGCCAGGCTATTGCTATTCTCTAGAGAAAGATGGGTTTTCTGTGCTTAATAAGACAGCTTGCAAGGGGTCTGCAGGGTCAGACGATTTTGCACATAAAGGGGTCTTAATGCTGAAGCCAAAGTTTTGAAGCCCTGGGACCTTCACTGAAACACAGGCTTCCTTCAGGGAACCTACACGCCTTCTGAAATAGAGCAGAGGGCTCCAGGTACAGGATACTGACAGAAGGGAGAACAGAATCACACTCAGAAGCTTTTCTAGCAGAAAAAGGACAGACACCCCAAAATATGACCCTTAAAGTTGGTCTATGTCCAAGAGGCAGATCTCTACTGGGGAGTCCCAACTCTCTCCTCAGTGACAAATTTGTTATCAGGTGTGATTCTGTTACCCCTTCTTTCCCATTAAAACATGTCCCAAATTTCTCACTGTTTATTCTGAAGTAACTGGAAAGGGACTGGAGTGGGGGGATGAAGGGAAGGAGTAGGTTACAAGGAAAAAAACTAGAACAGCATGAACCACTTCTGCCTGAAGAGTTTAGTTTTTGCACAGTATGCTCAGTCGTGTCCGACCCTTTGCGACCCCATGGACTGTAGCCCACCAGGCTTCTCTGTCCATGGGATTCTCGATGCACCTAATTCAGAGAAGGGCTTCTCAGGTGGTGCTAGTGGTAAAGAATCCACCTGCCAATGCAGGAGACCTAAGAGACAGGAGTTCCATCCTTGGGTTGGGAAGATCCCCTGGAGGAGGGCATGGCAACCCACTCCAGTAGTCTTTGTCTGCAGAACCCCATGGACAGAGCAGCTTGGTGGGCTACAGTCCATGGGGTAGCAAAGAGTCGTAACAAATGAAGCAACTTAGCATGCATGCACAATACAGAGAAACTTCAAATACAGTTTCATGTTGCCGCTGCTTTGCTTTTCTTGCTGCAAAGAGGAGGTGTTACACAAAGATGAAAAGAAGGGAGATGACAGCAGATATGTGAACGCCGTTGGGGCCAGTGCAATGTCTGGGGGCCTGGAGATTTTTTAACTCTTTTTGGGATAAACAAGTAACACCACTGAATTACATTCACAGTGAGTGTTTTTGCTTCTACGAGGAAGTAACAACAAGATTCCATAGCCAAAGTCAAGATGTAACTTTCATATTTATATTTAGAGCTTGCTTTTCTTACCCTGCTCTCCAAAACATACATTAAAATATCTTATGCTACTTCTCAACCTCAGCTCTTTTATTTGGCAGATGTATCAGAAAATTCTACTTGGTTACTGGAGTTATCCCAAAGTGAAAAAATAGCATTTCCAGAAGGCCAGCATTCATTCCCAGGCCTTTTCTGCACTTATATAACTCAATAGTGGCATTGTTTTGGATTGTCCACACACACAGAACACACATACAGCAACTGATGGAATGCCACTCAAATGTTTTTATGACTCTAGATGTATGTAGGGCAGGCAAAAAAAAAAAAAAAAAAAAAAAAAAAAAAAAAAAAAAAAAAANTCTGAGCCCCTGCCCCCAGCTCTACCTGAGGGGATCACAAGTCTTTTCTTTTCTTTTGAGATAAACACAGGTCTTTCTTTCTACTTTCTCTCAGTCTTAACGAGCCCCTATTGATGTCTGAATAGGTTTACAGGACTAAGATGAATACATCTATCACTTGCTGTGATATCTTTTGATTTTGTGGAATTTAAGAAATAATCTTCTTTGAGAATGTTATGTTCATGGTCAGAAAGGAAGTATCTAAAAACCTTTTTAGCATTTATTTCAGTAGATTCTCTTCCCTACATTTTTATCAATTTAGCCAAGAAATAACTAAATGTTTTTAAAGTAACCAATCTTAAATTTTATGTATGGCTATGACTTCCCTCTGCAGAAATGAAACACTGAGGGCTTTTGGACTGTTCAAAGAATGCAGCAATTTAAAAAGTCACGATCATCAGCCCAATAGACAATACTCCCATAGTCTGCAGGACTACACTCAATGCCAGCTTTCCATTTATACGCAGTACATTTCACTGCAATGAAAACAGACAGTTGACTGGGATGGACATTTAGGAAGAAATGGTCCAAGATCAACATCTCAGTTCTTCATTTTTCCAGAAGCCTTCTCATGTCAAGATAAAAGGGAGAAGAGAAGCGCCAAAAAAAAAAAAAAAAAAATCCAGCTATCAAACGAAATAACCCACATCCCACCACACCCTTCCCATGAATCAATTCACAGGACTACACATATGATGTTAATATTGATAGGCTTTTATTAAAGATCTCTTGAGACTGTGATTTATCAATTTATGGATAAGGAACTCTCAGTATCTGCATAATTGATGCTAAATTTTTTCCCTGCATAGTTATGTATGGGTTCAATTATGTCCCTGTTTCCCACCTTTTACTCCAAAGGGATAGCACTGCTTGGACGTGTCCAAGGAGATAAAGCCCTCTGTAACTCAAGTGCAAACAGCGGAACGATGGCAAGAACAACCAAGAGAGTTTCAAATAGCAGCAATGACTGACAAATTAGATATCTGAGTCCATAATTAAACACAGCATTTTACCATAACTTAGCAATTAAAACGCTATTCATCCAGGGAACAGGATTTTGTTCAAGTCTGCCTTTAGCAATGCATATCAGCCGGGATTCTTCCCAGAATTCTGTTAAAAAAATTCTCTAAAATGATTCAACGTAACATCACTTGGTGCTGTATTCAGACTAGAGTTTGAACAAGTTGTGTTCGAATCCGAGCAACTCACCCCTCCGTCTTTCCGTCTCTTCCTAACTTTGTGAACCAGAGCTATCCCTGGCTTTCTGACCATACAATTCCTACCAGCTATTCAGACTGGACCACTGAAATCCTGTTCTGACGAGCCTCCTGAGACAAGATCAGTTTACAACCATAGGTAACTCTCATACAGTTAGGAAAATACCGTGGTTCATCACACTGAGATAAATGGATCATCACTTCCCAGCTGCTGGCAAGCCGTCAGAGGTTCACAGCCCAGCACACATCGTGGGTGCCTCCTGAGATGAGTCAATTTTATATCTAAGGGTGACTCTACAGAACATAAAAATGGACTGCAGAGAGCACTAGCTACATCATTTGTGGGGACCAGTGCAAATGAAATCTCGGGTCTCCTTGTTCAAATGCACTAAAACTTCCAAGACAGCAACAGCAGAACATTAAACCCAGCATGGACCCGTCCAAGTGTGGGGCCCTGTGCACGCACCTGAAGCCGCCCCTGACTGCATGTGGCTGGGCCCCCTTAGTGTGTAACATGAATGCATTTATCTAGCAAATATTTCTTTCTTTTTTTTTTAAGACCTAAGTATTTTTTTAACGACACATTTTAGTAGTGAAAGTTGCTCAGTCGTGTCTGACTCTTTGCAACCCCATGGACTATATAGTCCACGGAAGTCTCCAGACCAGAATACTGGAGTGGGTAGCCTTTCCCTTCTCCAGGGGATCTTCCCAACCCAGGGATCAAACCCAGGTCTCCTGCATTGCAGGTGGATTCTTTACCAGCTGAGCCACAAGGGAAGCCCAGGAATACTGGAATGGGTAGCCTATCCCTTCTCCAGAGGATCTTCCTGACCCAGGAATCAAACCAGGGTCTCCTGCACTGCAGGTGGACAAGAGTCTGAGCTATGAATGCTTTACATGAAATGCACATTAATAATCTACAACAAAATCAACTTCTATTAGTTTACAAATACTGGTGATTACTCATTTCACTCATTCTCTTCGTCACTTTTTACTAATTCTCACTTTCAAACTTGGCAAGTATTTCTTTAGCACCACCTATATATGGTGGTAGATTTCATTCTTGCAACATGGTGGCTAAGACAGGGGCTCTGATGGTGCTAATCTCAGCTTCACCACAAACCAGCCAGGACTCTGCACAAATGATTCCATCTCTCAATCCCCGGGCATTCTTATCTGTAAAAGGAGTAAACAGCAACCAACTTACTGGGTGGCTGGGCGGATCAACTGAGAAAAACTCAACATGAGGGACTTTGATCAGACCGTTGCACAGAATATGAGCTCAGTAAAAAAAACAGCTGCCTATAGCTCTTAAGCAAAATGCAAGTAGAATGTTATTGTCACAAGGGCAGTTCAAATTGAAAGGAGAGGCAGCTCAGGCAGGTTAGAGGTCAGATCCTGTGGGGAAAGCAAGCTTTGTGAGGAAATGCATTTGAGATGCAGTTTGTAGGAAACAAGGGATTTTCACAGAAGTCAAGACTTAGGACACAGGACAGGAAGGCGCATGCGGCCGCCACAGCGGCATCTTTGGCTGGAACACCTGACGCAGGTAGGAGATTGGTGCAGGCTGTGCCCAGGGGGAGAACTGTGTCTGGTAGGGTGGGCCCACGTTTGGTAAACTGAGGGAGCACAACTTCATCTATTAGGCAACAGGGCAGCCTGGAAGGTTCTGCAGCAAAGCAGCAGTGTGGTCAGAGCCGGCCCTGTAGCCCCTGAGACGGCGGGCAATGACCAAACACAGTCCTTTATTTTTTGCCAAGGCACAAGAGAACTGATGACATGAGCCTGAAATTAATGAGATTTCCATATAGAAAGAATCTATTAGCTCACCACAAATACTAGCCTCTAATTTTAGTTGGTTCTTCCCTTCA